GTGTGTGTGTGTGTGTGTGTGTGTGTGTGTGTGTGTGTGTGTGTGTGTTTCAGTGCATGTGTGGAGAACAGATGACAACTTTCAGGAGTTGGTTACCACCTTCCAACTTGTTTGTGGCAGGGTCTCTCTTGTTTCTCTGTAGTGAGGAGTATGCTGTACTAGCTGGATATCCAGTGTCTCTGCCTCCAATCTCCAATTCCAACTACAGGAATGCTCAGAATTCAGCTTTTAACACACGTTTCAGGAATCCAAACTCACTCAGGTCATTAGGCTTGTGTATGTATAGGGATCAGTGAGAATTGGATCCAGGATGTTAAAAGTACATGAGAACATAAGAGCATAAAAATGTCACGTGTTGGGCTCAGGGAGATGCCTCATTGGGTAATGGAGTTCACACACAAGCCTTCTCCCCATACTCTGAACTTACTGCCTCAAGACGGGCAAGGGTATTTGGTTAAATAAAGGCCTCTATGCTTTCAGAAAACAGGCAGAAGGCTTCTTCTAGGCCCCTCCATCCTTGCCACTTCCCAAAGAAAAGGGAGATTATGAGGCTTATGATTTTAAGAACAGTCCCTGCTGAAATGTGAAATGTCAGCTCAAGTTGTTAGATTTCGCTTTGCACTCGTCTCCCCCCTCTCTCCCTCCCTCCCCCCCCACCTCTCAACCAGGGGCATGCTAAGTACTTATTTTTTTTTAATCATTGAGTCATGCCCCTACCTAGCTCCCTGGATTTTTATTTTGTATTGGTTTTGTTTGGTTGAGACAATGTTTGTGTAGCCTCAGCTGTTTTGAAACTAGCTCTGTAGACCAGGCTGGACTTGAACTCATATATCTGCCTGCCTCTGCTTCCAGAGTGCTAGGATTAAAGGTGTGTACCACCAACACTAGGCCAACTTTCTGTATTTAAAAAAAATAAACGTACTTTTTACTTATGTGGAAGTATATGTATGTCTGTATATATACATGTTCAGGGTTGTCCTTGGAAGCTGGAAGAGGGTACCAGATCTCCTGGACCTGGAGTTACAGGTGGTTGTAAGCCCTCCAACATGAGTACTGAGAACTGAACCCTGATTCTCTGCAAGAGCAGCATATACATACAACTGGCTTTGTTGTTGTTCTGGAGACAGAGTCTCACTATATACCTCAGATTGTCCTCAAGCTTCCTATGTAGCTCACACTGGCTTCAGAGTTAGAGCAATCATTCTGCCTTAGCCTCTTGGGTACTGATATTACAAGTGTGTGCACCACTCAGCATGTTTTATGGCATTCTGAAGAGCACTTAGGAAAGGAATAAGGCAGGCATTGTTGTGCCCTGGCTCTCCAATGCAATAAGGAGTGGACTCTCCTCAAAGTTTCCGCTTCCTACTTATTTGCTTCCAACTGCATACAACTGTGGGTCTAAGTTCATGGAATGACCTTTAAAGAGAGCTTGTTACTAAAACAATATTTGCTATGTGTCAGGCCCTGGGCCTACACATCGTAGCTGCTTGAGTCTGATAACAGCATAGGTAGAATAGGCACCCAAATGGGTTGTTAGATGAATGAGTACATAAATCTTCAGAACACCCTGAAAAGCAGATAGTAGTCCTTGTTTTGACAATTGGGAGACTGGAGCTTAGAAAAGGTAATCAACTTGCCAGAGGATTCAGTTAATAAGAGTCAGGATCCAAATCCAGATCTTTGGATTCTAAATCAAAAGGAGGTTATTATATGGCTCTTCAGGTTCTAGCCCAGCAGACATAGCCCTCTGATATTAGTGGTACATTATTCCCAAAGAGAGGCTATAGTTTTCCAGGAGGACACCCCACATGCTAGCTCCTTCATCTATTAGCACTGCTCTCCACAGGTGGCTTGTTATACTCTGAGGACAGCAATATATATTAAAAAAAAAAAAAGAAATTTGCATAGCCTTCCTGAAATAATCAATCCTTGGCCACCCACCACCTCTGGGATGTGGAAGAACTTCTTGGAAATCCTGTTTTAGAAGTTCCTTTTGGGAGCCTCTGTCACAGAGGACACCCTGCCTCCCAATGTGCAGGCCCTTCTGTGCGCACTCTGCTCCTGTAGGATCTATTGACCTCTTGTGGGCAGAGTATAAATTCACTGTGTTGGATTGCCTTATAGAGCCAGAACTCAGCCAACTGTCCTTTCACACTAGAAGTTAGCTATACCTAGTCAGTTTGATTCAGCTCTGACAATGCTAGAGTGGGTTAGACTTGCAGTTTCACTGCACCTTAGTTTCCTCACCAATAAAACAGGGATGAACAAAGTCCCCAGCCCTGCTTTAAATCATAGGAAGTCTTGGAATATAGCTCAGTTGTTAGAGTCACTTCCTAGTATGCATGAAGTCTTGAGATGTATTCCCAGTACTATGTAAAACCAGTGTGGGTGTTCATATTTATAACCCTGGCACTCTGGGGGTTGAGGGAGGACAGTCCATAGTTCAAGGTCATCCTTGGCTACATAGTGAGTTCGAAATTAGCCTGGGATATAGGACATCATGTATCAAAAAAGGGAAGGAGAAGAAAAATTAAAAAAAAAAAAACAAAAAAAAAAAAAAACAAGAGACAGTTTTAACACTTGGAAATGAATAAATTCTAAGATTTCAAGACCCCAATTAGGTACTCAAAGCATTCTTGGTATCTAACCATCATTATTAAAGATTCTGCAACAGGGCTAATCAACCCATTTTTCAGGTCACAAATTACACAGAAAACATTTGTCTAGCAAAACTGAATTAGAGAGGAAAGCTTGAGAGGCAGGTCAGGGGGCTCATGTCTATAATCCTAGAGCTTAGAAGATGGAGGCAAGAAGCTTGTCCTGAGTTTGAGGCCAGCCTGGACTACATAGTGAGTTCTAGGCCAGCCTGAGATACACAGAAAAATCCAGTCTCGATTAATCAACCATTTAATCAGCCAATGGAAGAAAATGGGATTGGAGGTTCAGCTCACCACAGAACACTTTCCCAGCATACAAGAGGCTCTAGTTTCTATTCTCAGGGAAGGAAGTTAAGATGGAAAAGAAGGATGGAAAGACAGAAGGGAGGAAGGAAAGGTGAGGGAGGAAGAAAGGAAAGAAGGAAGGAGAGGGAGAGGGAAAGAGAGACTTTTATGAACAGACCTGCTTCAGCCTCAGACTAGCTACTCTGAAAGCAGAAAGCATCAATGTCTCAGGATTTTTGGAATCCCCCTGTAGCAGCTGGGGTGGGAAAACATCTGTTCTATTAGAAAGAGCAGTTGCAGAAGCCACTGTGTCTTGGGAAATCCCTGTGTTCCAGGTACCATCACATCCACTTATAGGCTGAGGTAGAAATGGCCACAGAGCAGCTGAGAAAGGGTCTCACGCCTGTTCTGAGCACAGGACAGAAATCCATGAGCTCTGCTCCACTTCTTTTTATTGTTCAGGGAAATTAAGAGATCATAGTCACAAGCTGCAGGCAGAGCTCAGTTGCAAAGCACTCACCCAGTAAGTAGGAGACTCTGGGTTCCATTGCCTGCATAAAAACAAGAGGGGGGAGGAGAAGGAACAGATCACAGTTACATTCAGATCCACAGACAAAAACCTAGATTGCCTAGAGTGTTTGGGATCATCTGAGTCTGTCACAGGCCATAGAGGATATTTCTCCAGAGCTAAATTATGTGACAGGAACATCTGCCTTTTGCCTCCCATCACATTCCTTGCGCCTTTCCTCTTGCTCCTTGTCATTCATGCTTCAATGATTCATTCATGCAACAAGCACTCACAGAGCATCAAAGCACATGCTGAACCCTGTGTTGGGTACTGGGATTATGGCACAAAACTGCTGGCTTCAAGGAAGTCAACTTGAGAGGTACCAGGGAGGGCATGGTAGGCCCAAAAGATGTCTATAAAGAGGAGGAGCAGGGTGAGGTATACCCTCACCAGCTCTGAGAGTTTGGAAAGTTGGTAAAGGCACTTGAAGTTCTGTACAGATTCGAAAGAGGAAGGAGTCAGTGGGAATAGGTACTATCCCAAAGAGGGGGCATATACAAAGGCGGCCTTGGATATGGCAGAAGGAGGCATGTTCAATGACTTCAAGTTAGAGTGGCAGGTAAGGCGAAGCCAGGTAGACAAGATACATTTGAGAGGGGTGACAATTTGAGGAAACCCTACTTCATACTGAAGGCAGCAGGAAGCCACTGGAGACATTTTGAACAGAGGAGCATCATGATCTGGATTGAATGCTTTAAGGCAGGTTCTCAGCCTTCTTAATACCACAACCCTTTATTACAGTTCCTTATGTTCCTCAACCATAAATTTATTTTCATTGCTATTTTATAACTACAATTTTGCTATCATTATGAATAGTAATGGAAATATCTGATAGGCAGACTATCTGATATGTGACCCCTGTGAAAGGGTTGTTCCACCCCAAAGGGGTCTCGACCCAGAGGTTGAGAATGCCACCACTCTGGCTCAGTCTGGTCTAGAAGTGGTGGGAAGAGCAGGGTATCAAGGCAGAAGGAAGCTATTAGAGTCATTCAGGGTCCCCTGGTTTTAAAACCTAACTAGGACATTGAGGTGAGAAGAAAGGCAGGGATCTGAGAACTCTTAAAGGGGGAGGGCCAAAAAGTCTGTGGTTTGGAGAAGTAGGTGATAAGGGGGAAGGAATCATGCCGATAAAATCTGGTTTCTGGCTTGAGTAAGTGGGTGCCTGGTAGTAGCATTCACTAGAACTGAGAAGACATCAGGGGACAAGGGATAATGAGGGCTACTGTGGATATGTAGGGGTAGAAATAGTTGTGGGACTTTGGAGTAGAGATGGCAAATAGTCACTTGGACATGACGGTCCCTCAGCAGCAGAGACTAAGCTGAAGATATACATTTTGGCATTTTACTGTGTATTAATAACAGAGGAGAGCTGAGGCCATGACTATGAATGAGAAGGATAAGAAGGCTAAGACTGGTGCCTTGATGATCACAAGCAACTAAGAGACAAACAAGAAAGAGGGGGAGCTCCGAGTACTAGTGGGGCCAAGTCAGAAGCATTTACAAATCTAAGGTCAGTCTGTGCTGGATGTTTCAACAAACAAACAAACAAACAAACAAAAAGTTAGGAGGGAGGAAATGGCAGAAGTGAGAAGGAAACTTTGTTGAAAATCTATTCAAATTTGCAGGCCTAAGATGTGAGTGTTGCCAGTAAGAGAGGAAATAATTGATAAAGTGCAAGGAGAGGTGAAGGGAATCTGTATCTGAGCACATGCATGAATACATGCCTACATGTATATCTGTGGACCAGGTGCATACAGTGACAGGGGAAGCAAGAAGAAGGCATCAAATACCTCGGGACTGAAGTTAAAATTGTTGTGAAGCCACTATGTGGATGCTGGGAACCCCAACCCAGGTCCTATATAAGACCAGCAAGCGATATTAACCCCTGAGCCATCTTTCCACCCCATCCCTCACTGCCCCCCCAAAACACTACTGACTCGTTTTAAAATTTTTTATATTAATTACAGTTTATTAACTTTGTATCCCAGTTGTAACCCCCTCCCTCATCCCCTCCAATCCTACCCTTACTCCTTCATCTCCTCCCATGCCTCTCTCCAAGTCCACTGATAGGGGAGGTCCTCCTCCCCTTCCATCTAACCCTAGCCTATCAGGTCTCACCAGGACTGGCTGCATTGTCTTCCTCTGTGACCTCATAAGCCTGCTCGCCTCTCAGAGTTAGCCACTGAGTTCATGTCAGAGATAGTCCCAGGTCTCCTTACTAGGGAACCCACTTGGATACTGAGCTTATATGGGCTACATCTGTGCAGGGGTTCTAGGTTATCTCCATGAATGGCCCTTGCTTGGAGTATCAGTCTCAGAAAAGACCCCAGGGCCCAGATATTTTGGTTCTGTTGCTTTCCTTCTGTCCCCTCCAGGTCTTTCTATCTTCCTCTTCTTTCATAAGCTTCCCTGTACTCTGCCCAAAGTTTGGCTATGAATCTCAGCATCTGCTTTAATACCCTGCTGGGTAGTCTTTTAGAAGTCCTCACTATTGACTCTTAGTTACAGGAGGTTTATCAGGGGATCACATATGGGAAGGAAGGCACGGAAACAGGCCTAGAATAACTATGGGGCTAGGGTACAGGCACCAACTTTTGGGAAACTCTTAAACTAGAACAGTGTGGTGGGCCTTTGTATCCCTGCCTTAGTCAGTGGTTGCATACAGGTTGCCCTGGGGAGGAAACAAGCCCTTGGGAAAGTAGTTCTCTTCAGCCAAGGTAGTCCCTCAGGGGCCTGAAGAATGAAGGCAGCTCCCTTCTGAACAGAGGAGTAGGGAAGCACATCTCAGCATCCACCATAGGGAGAAAGAGTGCTGTTGCATGGGCATTGGCCTGAGCCTGAGGCTTTCATGCTGTTAGCCTGAATTCTGCTCTGAGAAAACAGAAAACAACCTTTCTGTTGACCGCTCAGGTTGAAGGAGTCTGGTAGAAGGAGAACAAAATGACTGCTTCAGGATACTGAAGGGGAGCTGACATGAACATACAATGCATTTGCCAAGGGGTAATGGTTTTTCTCTTGGGTCTAGAGAACTAACCATTCTAATAGAATCAAACTGTTCAAATTTCTAGCCCTCCTTGCCTGTGGTTAAGTCTCCTTCCCTCAGACTTCATTAGTTTGTACCAGAAAATGTGTATATTATTAAGGACAATTTATGAGACTGTGTTCCTAAAAACCCCAGACTTTTACTTAAGGCATTTTCTGAACAAGAATTAAATATAAAGCCATGACTATGGATTTTTGTTGTTGTTTAAACTTGCTTTGCATCTGAAGGATGACCTTGAACTTCTTCTCATCCTCCTGCCTCCACTTGAGTGCTGGGATTATGAGCACGGACAGGCAAACTATGTTTATTTGATGCTGGCTATTAATCCCAGGGCCTTGTGCCTGCTGGACAAACATGCTAGGATGTGAGCCTCATCTCCAGCCCCTACGATGATTTATTTTTGTTACAATAATTACTGGTAGTAATGACAACAATCTTGTTGATCGAAAACAAAACCTGTGTGCAGATTAAAATTACTAAGTGATTAGTCCAGGCTTGACAATGAAGAAGATAAACACTTGTTTACCAGACGATGAATAAATATTATAGGAGTAGGATTAAACCTAATTGGTGGGCAGATACAATGTGCAGGAAATAACAGAAGAACACTAATTATAAAGCTACAAAGGGGGGAAAAAAGCACAACTACATGACAAAATACACAGCGGGTGGCTCCTCACATGCTGAGGTGACAAGAGCCAGGTAGTTTGCCCGGACATCATTTTTATACATGGTAATTCAGTGCCTCACTGCTCTGAGAAAGGTGAAGAAGAATAGTTTTAATGAGAATCCACTGGGATTGAAGCTTGGGCTGAGCACACAACTGTGCCTCACTCTTAAAACCCACTTGTCCCTGGAGAGATGGCCCAGTGTGGTAAGAGCACTTACTGCTCTTTCAGAGAACTTGAGTTCAGTTCCCAGCATCCACATAAGTCGGTCACAACTCCCTATAACTACAGTTGCGAGAGACCCAAGGCCCTCTTCTGTCGTCCAAAGGACAAAAGGTTCATATACATAAAATAAAACAATATTTAGCTAAGCATGTGGCTTTCGCCTTTAATCCCAACTTAGCAGAGACAGAAAGATCTCTGTGAATTCAAGGCCAGCATGGTCTACAAAGTGAGTCCAGGAGAGCCACCAGGGCTACAACAGGGATACCCTGTCTCAAAAACCAAAACCAAACAACCAAACAACATCCAAACAAACCAAACCAACAACAAAACCCAACCCTGCTTGTCACCCACGAGGAGCTATGAACAAGTAGAAACAACTTTTTTTTAAAAATGTGAACGGGTGTTTTGCCTGCATTTATGTCAGTGCAAAACATGCATGTCATTCTAATTCAGACAGCCTGGCCACAAGTGTTCATGCTGAGCCATCGTGTTCTGTATTAGGTCTTACTACAAAAGCCTATATGCTACAAAATTTGAAAATCTAAACGAAATGGATAATTTTATTGATAGATTTCATTTACCCAAATTAAATCAATATCAGGTAAATAGATTAAATAATCCTATAGCCCCCAAGGAAATAGAAGCAGTCATCAAAAGTGGCCACTCCAAAAAAAGCCCAGGAACAGATAATTTCAGTGCAGAATTCTACCAGACCTTCAAAGAAGAGCTAACTCCAATTCTCTTCAAACTATACCACAAAATAGAAACAGAAGGACTCATTCTATGAAGCCACAGTCACCTTATATATTAACCACACAAAGACCCAACAAAGAAAGGGAATTTCAGGCCAATCTCTCATGAACATTAATGCAAAAATACTCAATAAAATACCTGCTAACCGAATCCAAGAACACATCAAAGGTATCATCCACCATGACCAAGTAGACCTCATCCCAGGCATGCAGGGGTGGTTTACTATATGGAAATCCATCAATGTAATCGACCATATAAAAAAACTGAAGGAGAAAAACCACATGATCATCTCCT